GCCAGTGCTGGGTGGGAGATGCTCCAAAGCTTGCCCAGCTCTCGAGTGGCCGTGGTTTTCTCAGAGCACTCAGCAGGTGCCTGTAATTCTGCTGAGCTGGCACATGGGTATTGGGACTGAAGCCTTTGACTGTGACTGCTTTAAAACTGTTCTGAGACAGTGGAAGTGTTCTTCGGTGAAGGGGAATGCCATAGGGAGATTAATTGCCCGTTTTAAGGAAGAGCTGCTGAGGATTGTTGCTGGATGGGACCTCTCTGTTCTGCAGCTGTGCTTCCCTGCAAGCTCCAGTGGTTAAATAATCTTGGTCAAAACTGAGCCTCTTCGCTGATAGGTCAGACTTGGCCACTCCAAGATTCCTTGGTCGGAGGTCACTTACTGCTGACTCTTCAGCCTGAACCTGCCTCCTCTTGATCTTTAGAAGCGGGTGCTTGCTGTAGAAGAGGGATAATGAGCGGTGAAATTGCAACTGTTTAGGTGGTGGCTCCCTACAGGGGAACTGACAGCATTGACATCACTATCAAAAAGGGCTTTAACCTTCATGTAAATGCTTGTTGCAGAGGTCAAGAAAAGGCTTTTCTTTTTTTAAACAACAAAAAATTGATTGGTCTGGAGAGAACTTGAATGTTAATATGTGGGAGTTCTGATAACTTGAATGCCAAATGAAGCCAGACTGGTGTTTATGGTTGTTTATCTCGAGTTGGTCCTGAAAGGAGCTGCAGTTGCAGCCACCTAGATAGGCTAGATATGCTCTGTAATTTTAAGCTGGTTTAACTAAATGTATGGACAGTGTTCATCCATCCCGCCAAGCTTTCAGTGATCACACCAGCTCTAGCAAAAAGCTGAAGTTGTTTAACAAAATGTTTCTGTCCAGGCAAACGGGCCTCTGGAAACCTTAACTAAGGAGTGTGAAGTGGCTGATTTCTGCAGCTTAATTAGAGCACTGCTGACACAGCCCCTTTACAGCTGCTTTTATCTGTGTAACCAGCCCATCCTGAAAGAAAAGGCTGAGTAACAGCTGGATCTAGGCTTGCTGGAAAGTGGGTGACTCCTCCAGAAGAGGAGTCAGGTGGACTGCAGCCACAGCATTAGGTTCTCTGGATGGGGGACAAGCCGAGCTTGGAAAAAACCTCTCCTAATTCTTGCTAGCCTAAGGGTTAGACCTGCTGGTTAGAATAAACATTCCCATTCTGCCTCCCAGCTATGCCTGACAGCAGATTAAAGGAATAAAGGCAATGTGCTGCATTGGGTTGTAATGAGTTACTCAATACAGAGTCTGTAATGGAGACCTGGCAAAATACACAGATAGTGTTTAATAGAAGAGACGATTAATTTTCACCATTTCCAGGCTGTGCCAGTGGCAGCTGACCAGCTACAGGCTTTTAGGATTCAAATGTACCAATCATTTTGTTAATAACAGTAAAATGCCAAATATTTTCAAGCATTCCTCCATTATATTCTTTAGCTTACGAGTCTGTACTTGTCTGCAGATCACATCTTTTTGGGGCGCTTTAGCAGAAAATAACTGTGTGACATTTTCCTTTGGCAGGCTGCAGCAGACATTATTTTAGCACCTGAAATACATTCAGAGACATTTTACAAACATGCTAAGTCCAATGGAGTGCCTAAATGTGGGTGTGTATCGATAAACTTTTCCCCAGACTTAGCTACTGGATTGCATTCTACATCTGAAAAGCACTTTGAGGTGGCCTTAATTTAGCCTAGAATAGATCCACTTCAAATTAACACCAGCCTTTATTTCAAAACAATGTACTTGCAGGCAAGCTGTCAGACTCTATTCTAATGTTTAAATTAAAAAAAAAAAGCAGGTAAAGTAAATCCCTGAGATTTTTATCATTTTGCTGAAGTTGTCTTGTATTTTTATTTTGTAAATGTTGTGTGTGCCCTGGCTTTTCTTTTGACAGTACTTCAAGCTGAAAAACAAAGATGGATTTTTTTTTCCCCCAGTGAATTTATTATGAAGAATGAAGGTCAGATTCCTCTTACGGCTGCTTTGTGCTGTTGAAAAATACAGTGTGGCTTCTGCTTCAAGAGCACCTAATTTTGAAATCCATCTTGCTGAAGCAATTGCTATTAGAGGTGACCCACAAGAGAGACGAGCTTCCCTTTTGCCACTCTGTGATGGAATAAAAGACTTGAGTGATAAATTAGCTTAGTCTACCTGCTTGCCACATCAGAAGCTCATCAGAAGCTCCTTCCCTGCAGCAGGAGTGCTCGAGATCAAGCTAGGCAGCAAGAGGCAGAACAGCAAGGAGGACAGACAGACAAATGCAGGGGTTTTTTTTAACTACACCTTTTAAAATTTTGCGTCTATTGTTAAAAAGTGTTTGACTTAAATGACGGCCATTTGGCACAGAGGAAGTTTATCCACGTGCTTCCAGCAGCCTTTCACCTATTAAGGCAGCAAAAGCTCAATTCATGTATTTCTGACCTCCCAAAAGTTCCTCAGCAAAAACAGGAAGGACCAAGCGCTACAGCTTGAATGCCTGGAAAGGACCCATCTCCCTGCACATCTTACAGCAGCAAGAGGTCACCATGTAAATGCTTTTTCCAAGAAGCCATTCAAAAAATCAGGCTTATGGAGGGGAAGCCGAGGACGTGTGCTGCTGTGTTTGGCAGGGGCATTTGTTACCAAGGATAAAAACAGTTTTGAAGAAATGTCTGGGATGACATTCCTGACCCCTCCTGCTCCTTCCCAAACTGAAATGTAGGAAAACAATGAAAATAATATCTTTATGTGAAAAAGTCTCCCTTGCCAAAATGCTGGGGTTAACCACACTCTTCCTCATCCCATCCCAGGGGAAAAATGCACATCCCCTGAACACTGTCCAGCAGCACTACAGATGGCGTGGGGGGCATTGATGCCAGCTGGGGGGATCAGTCCCAGCAGCTCTCTCCTTGCTGCCAGTTCAGTCTTGGTGTTGGGAAGACACTGGGTGTGAAAATTCCTGGGAAGAGCATCAGGTCATGCCAGGGCACTGGGGGGGTCAGTCCCAGCAGCTCTCTCCTTTGCTGCCAGTTCACTCTTGGTGTTGGGGAGACACTGGGTGTGAAAATTCCTGGGAAGAGCATCAGGTCATGCCAGGGCTGGGTGCCTCATGCCTGTAATTGAAACGCAGGTGCAGAGGGAGCATGGGGCAGTGGGCTGCCAGTAGGGACAGCAGGAACCAGCCCTCTGAAAACTCAGCCACACACTTAAAATCAAGGTGCTCTTTAAAACAACTCTCAAATTTGTGTGGTGGTGATTCCTAGAAGAGAGAACTTTCTTGCAAGACGTGCGCTGGTAAATGATGGAATAACAGTGACTCATATTTTATTATCAGACTTGACTGTAGCCGCGCTTACGCTCGCTTCAGATTTGTTGACACACATCTCTCCTGACGCCTGCCAATAAGGACGATGCTGTGAAGCAGCACTGTAATGTAAAACTGGTACGGGAAATGCAGGTGAGGGCTGATCACAGCCTGAGCCCCTCCGCACAAGAGCAGCTTTGGGAAGAGAGGGATTGGTTTTGCAATACCAGCCACCGATGGAAAGTGCTGGTGGGTTTCTGCTCCAGGGCGCTGAGAGGCTCGGCACCCACGTGGGTTGTCAGGGCGTTTCGCAGGACTAATCCCTCAGAACCTGCCTGAGACTGATGTCTGGTCCCAGAGTCACAGCCCGGGATGTTTAAGTGGCTCCCAGTGAGAGGCTGACGGTGAACGAGACCCCACGTTGCACCAGCCCTGCTGTATCTGAGTCTCCTTCCAACACTGTTTCCTTTGAGGTGGAAGAAGGAAGTGATCTATTTTTGGGGAGCATTCGCACCAGATGTTCGGTGATGGCAACACTGTCTCTATCACTGCATGCTCTGCTTCCGCACAGGAGCCCCCGGGCTCTGCCTGCCTCTGCCGCCGGTGACCCTGTCCCTTCCTCCTGCCCTGCCTGACCTCCACTGCTGCCAGCCCTGCTCCAGGAGGAAGGAGTGAGTTCACCTCCCCCAGCTGCTGGGGGCTGGATCTGCGTCCTCCAGGTAGGACAGGAGCGTTTTCCTGCTGCCCCACCACTGCCTGGCAATCGATGCCAGTCCTGTGGGGCCAGAGGTGCCCAGGGACACCCCCAGTTACTGGGAGCAGCACTTGTCTGCCACAGACCCCGGTGCAGAGGGATAAACCATAATGTTGCTGCTGTCACAGGGTGCAACATTCTCAGGATGTGCTGCTGCCTGGGATCGATGTCCCTGGTCTGCTGGCCTCGACACTCGTCTTTGAATCCCCTGTTCCTTCTGACGTGGGTTTTTCTTTCCATCTGAATCATTCAGTATGACTTTGGAGCACAATGGAGCTGTGATTTTTTTCGAAGCCGCCAGCCTGCAGGAAACAGAAGGTCTCTGAATAAAAGGGAGGCTCTTGTTACAACTTCCCTCTTATTTACTGTTCCCAGTAGCAGAGAAGTAAAAAGACAATGAATGAAATGGAGGATTAATCACGCGTAGCACTGAAATATAAACAAGGAGACAGAGCGTTCCAGAGCGCTGTTCCGAGCAGTGGCTCGTGCCCACAGCGTGCAGAAATCTCTCATCACTGAGATTTCATGAAAGAGGCCAAAAGGCAGAGGAGGCTCCACAGGTGGTTTTTCAAAGGCAAACTTGCAAACTGAGTCTTTTCCATGGACTTTGTTCGGTGCTCGCAAAACTTGAGTTCAAGTTGATATCCCCTGTGCTTAATCACTCACTGGTCCATGACTTTTGCAGAGGCAACTCCCTATTTTCCTATTTTTCTCTGTTCGGTGCTCACAAAACTTGAGTTCAAGTTGATATCCCCTGTGCTTAATCACTCACTGGTCCATGACTTTTGCAGAGGCAACTCCCTATTTTCCTATTTTTCTGCATTAATTTTAAAACAATAAAAGTCCAGGACAACTCTTTTGTCCCACTGAAGACTTTTAAAAACACTTCAGAGAGAACCTACTGTGCTGCACAGTGTGTAGCTCTGCTCCTATAAGGGGTGTGTCGTCTTTAGCCTTGCTCCCTTTTCCACTTGCTTTGGTTGCCAAACACCGAAGGATTACTAATCATGTTCCTTATTTATTTTTTTTAATCAGAGATTTACCTGTATTTGATTTCCAGCTATAGACTATGAGCGTTCACACCAGCCTTTGCAAAGGTGTTGAGCTCCTCAAGTTAATTGGTAATAAATTAACCTTGGGAGGTTGTTTGTGTGAAGCAGATTACGTGCATGCAGCTTTGTGGAGGTTTTTAGTGAAGCAAAACATAGGAAAGAAAGGTGGAAACAGGGATACATGACACAATTCAGATTGCCTGGAATGCCTGTAATAAACAGTTGTTTTGTGCATCTGAATATCTGCATCTGTCAGGTAAGTGCTGTTGATTTTTTTGGCATTGGGATGATGCATTTAATGTCAGGGTTGAGGCAAAGCGGAGTGCATAATTGTAAAACTGATGGGGAAGCTGCTCCCCATCCTTATTCAAAAGCTCCAACAAACCTCTTAACTGTTCATTTTACAGTTCTCTTTAGAAAACATATAAGAAAAACCTCAGGAAAGTTTATTTGGGGCACCTGCAATAATAAAATTGAAGTGGCCCAAGCCTGAAAATCACACCATGCGTCTCCAAGTGAGTATAAAAATCCGGAGCATGGGATATATTTAAGCTAAAAACCAAAACCAACCCATGCTACTTAACTAATCCTTGCTGTAACCTTCTGCCCAGACTTTGCCTGGGACTGGGAGCCTGGAGCAGGCACTGGGCAGGCAGGAGCCCTGCCAAAGGCTCCTCCTGGCCTTGTCTCCCTGTCCTCCCGGGGGCTTTCCAGCTTGCACTTTGTTTCACTTTCTCTTTCTGCTGTGCAGGGCTGTGCTGGAAGGGTTGCAACATCCTCTTTCAATTATTTACACTGTTTGCATTGAAATCGTAACAAAATATATATTCTTTTTAATATTAGGATTTTTTTTTTTTTAATATTACTAAAGCCGTGCTGGTGGTGCATTAAATTAGTTGGTGATACTCTTTTAAAAGCCCTTTCTAAATACTTTTTAAGAGGGGAATTGCATTAACTTCTCAGCTGCAGCTTCCCTGTTTACACACAGCAAAAGGCACTGCCAGCCTGAACCTGCCAGGTCAGGAGCAGAAGGGTGACCCCTGCAGCTCCCACCACCCTGATCCCCTGGCACCTGCAGCCTCCAGCTGACTTGATTTGCCAGTGGTTCCCTGCTGGGGAAGAGGAGGTGGGGAAGAGCTGCCTGGAGTCTTTGGTCATGATATGAGTGCTTCCCAGACAGGTGCTTCTTTGCTTGCCTTTGGTTGTACCTATTTTAGGGTAATTAATAATAGAGAGCTCCTGAGCAACCCAAATTTAGACACTCTGGAAATCCAGATTAAAAAATCTGGGGAGAGTTTATGGTTTTTTTCCTTTCTGCCCACTACAGCAGAGGCTGGAGGATCTCAAGTCAGAATGGGGGGTTGCCACTGTGCCCTGCTCTGGTTGCAACCTCCAGGCTTGGAAGCTCTACCACTTCCCTGGAAAACCTGTCCCAATGCTTGAAAAGATGCTAATAAATGTTTTGCTGCAGTTTTTTGTTTTTCTCTTTCCCCATAACTTTCAAGTTTCAGCACACTACCAGCAGAAACTTGATGAATCTTCACGATAAGAAGACTCCCAAAATTTATAGGGCTTTGCTGGCTTTTGGTCTTGGTTTTGACTACTTCAGCAAATCACTCGGAATTTTATAAAATTATTATTCTTCAACAGATTGAAAGAAATAGATTATATATCGTTACAAGGTTTGAGGGTCTGTCCCTGCCAGGGTTCTTGCAGGCTTTAGTCTCTCTGCCAAGGCTTGTGGGTGCAGGAGCCACGGCCAGGAGCCTTAAACCTCAACCCCCAAAGCTAAGGGGAATTTCTAAAAGGGAAGGTGTGTGCTCCGTGTCTTACCCTGCGAGGGTGAGAGGGAGCACAGGGAGAGGGGTGCAGGTCCTGCCCCCTGACCCAGAACCTTGTGCCTCACTCCTTCTGTGTCCCCCGGGGTGCTGCAAGTAAAAGGAGCTGCACGAGGTGGTGACAAGTCCCCAGCATTCCGGGTATTTGATCCGAGGAAATCACCAGTCAGCCAGGAAATGTCAAGATTACGTCACATGCATAATCTTTTAAAGCCCTGAAAAGGAGCTTGTTAAAATCTGTGTCTCTGCAGTGTGATCCCAGTTCATTTCATTTTTGCTTTGCTCTTCCACTTTACGGGAACAGGCAGGCAAATCCTCCTTTTCCCTCCCTTTGACTTGTTGGCTATGGCCTTGCCACTCACTGGGGCAGGGCGAGCAAGCCCTTACTGTGCTGGGCCCCCAAAGGGAAGATGTGGTGATGCCCAGGGCCTGTGGGGATACAGCTACAGCCCAGCCTGTCCACACTGGAAAAGGAGGGAGAGGACGTGGGAGTGGAGCTCCATCCCTTCCCCTGGTGCTTGCTCGTGTTCCGGGTGGGCGCCCTGGGCAGCCCAACAGCGCTGCAGGGAGGTGCCAAAACTTCACAGAGCAAAACTGCACCTCGTTATTCCACTGATCCTGCAAAACTATTAAGGAGCATGCAGTAGAGTATGTGACACACACATGTTTAATTTCTTTTACAGTTTCTGTTTTGATATACGCTCAATGTGTTTTTATAAAACAAAGATTTATTGGAACCTGGAATTTTATGACTTTAAGATTTGCTTGTGTCCAGATTGTGAGTTTCTCCTTTTAGAAGAGGAGGGGAAAGTTTAAAAGAGCCCATCTGCCCGTGGCACTTACGAAACCCTAGGCCAAGGATGACACCTTTTCCCTTAACTTCTACTATAATGTCAAACAAAAATTTACCATCAAATATTATGCCTTCCATATGCAATGCCCTGCTGTAGATTTAGATCACAGCAATGGTGTTTGGCTTCTCTCTTTCAAGTTTTTATCTGTGCCATAAGGAAGTCAGGACTCACTGTAGGGTCCAAGGAGGAGCAGCAAGGCAGGAAAAACCCAAACCATACATAATTAATGACAATGTGCCTTCACTTGTGCTCTTGATTTTTCTCATAAAAGCACAGCAATGCCCTTACTGCCTGCAAGGCTGAGGAAAGCAGTGTATTTTTAAAACACAGTGCCAGTGTCAGACAGCTCCAAGTGCTCTGGTAGGAAACAACCAGCATCCAAGGAAGCAGAGCCTGAGTCCAGTTCTCCGGTTACCACGACATAAGTAAACAAACAAGTTTATCACAAGTAATGAGGGCATTGTGCCAGTTTCAGTTAAAATAATGAAATAAATAAAAAAGAAATCAACCCCAAACCAACAAATCATTACAGCATGAGGAAAGTCCTGAATGAAATTGATTGTTTGTGCCAACACCAGAAATATATCTTGTCATAAACTCGGGCCTCCACATCTGCTTCAGCACCAGCGGATTCTTTATAAACAGCCTCTTTAATTTTATCTAACAGCCTGTTAGCAGACATGGAGTCCAAAAATACATCTCCTTTTCTTCCTCGCACTATCCTGAGCTTGGCAGGGCACCAAACATGAGGTTCAGCTCGTAATTCAAAAAAGCCCTTCTTTAAGCATTGACTGAGCTTGATTTAATAAAAATCCTGTCCAGCTTCCTCCGGGCAGCCCTAATGGGATGCAGAGCCTGGTGCTTCTCAGGGGCTGCTCCAGACCTGCTGTGTGTTGGCCAGTGAGATTTTTTTGTGGTGAAACAATATTGCTCTGTGGTGCAGTTGGGGAACCGGCTGGTGTTCTCCAGAATGTCTCCCCCGAGGGGTGCACAGCTTCACTTTCAGCTATGCCACCCTCTGAAAATGGAAGTGAGCAGGCAGCACCATAAAAACAGCAGAGCCACAGCAGGGGATGTCCTGGTGCCCCTGGTAGCCCCGGGGATGCTCCAGTGTTGCTGGTACGCAGCCCCCCTCCCACTGGCCCTGCCTTCCTCAGGGGAAGGAGAGAAAAGCATCAAAGACCCTAAAGTGATTTCCAAACCCCGAGTTCTCCTGGGGAGAGACCTATCCATTGTGTCTCCAGTGTGGCACTGCCAAGCACTTGTAGGTGCTCCTGAAGGAAAGATTGGGCATTCACTGAAATATAGGGGGTGTTGCACTGGGACTGGTTCCCAGAGGGCAGCCCCGACACCAGAAGCAGGACAACCACATTCACACTTCCTGACGCTGGTGTTCCCAAGAACAACACTGATTCTCTGGCTGCTGATTGCCTAGGAAAGCTGGAAGGGACATTGGCTGACTTTTAATGCCAGGACAAGAGTGGCTGACGTCACCTCAGAAGATGAAATACATTCCTGCTGCGAGGACTGCACCAAATTACAGACCCAGATTTCCCAAGAAATTAGTGTGAGAAACACTGTACAACACCACATTCACTGCAACACAGGAACTCATTAGCTGGATAGTTGAAAATGTTAATAATTATCCCATTTGACAAACCAAGGTATGTATTTCAAGCCTCAAAGTTTGCTGTGCTAAAGAAATATTAATGGCCTGCCATGTCATGATGTCCAGGGGAAAAGGATGTTTTGTAGTTTCTGCTCATGGCTCAGTTGTTTATTTAAATTACTTGGAAACTAAACCAGCAACAAACATAACCACTGCTGTTGTGAGGTGTGGTTAACAATAAGTAGATTTTATTTAGCATGACATCAAAGGATGAAATGGAGTGAAATAAAGGAAAGGAAAGTTTCTTGAGTGGTCGACGAGCCAGATCCCAATGCCAAGACATGGAGGAGGATCAACAGAAATCCTGCAGAGCCCATCCTGTCACTTGGTCATGCTGACAGATGCAAATAAATGAGCAGCACAGGTGTCAATGACAGGGAAATACTACATTTGGCAAAGGATGCTGCAGGTCTGTAGTGATGGAGGGGCTCTGTTGGCTGGCCTGGGGAATGCTGGTGGCACCCTGGGGTTTTTCATCACCTCCTGGGAGGGATTTTCTGACAGGTCCTTGTGGTTGTGCCAGGAAGGCTTGAGGGCCTTGTGCTGCTTGGCTGCCAATTCTCAGCAGCACCTGACCCAACAACAGGGAGGGATCTGGGATTTGCTGGGGGGCTTGTGGTCCCTCCAGTCAGGTGCCAAATTCAACTTTACAAAGAGCACAAGCATTCATCCAGTGATACCTTACTGATCTGAACATGGCTGATGCCTTTCAGCTGAATTTCAGCTGAATATTAAAGAGAAACAGATCAAAGGCAGACGATTGAACAGGAAAAGTGGGTTTAGCTGCCCAGCTGTGAGCTGCAGTGCCCTAATCCTTCCCCTTATGTGCTACAACAGGGTGTAATTCAATCCTAAATTACTGAAAATCTCAATGTTTTGTAAATCACATATCAGAAGGTATTTTATTTATACAAGCATCTACTCATTAGGAGTATCAAAATACTGGCAATACTGTGCACGCTCTGCAGGAGTTCTTGTCAGAACTGCATTTCACAGCTCAGATGGCCCCAGCTGAGAGGTACACATGGGTCTTCCTGGCATCTCTTTTTTTGTCCAGTCCTATCACTGGTGGGGTCAAATGGAAAAGCCACAGAGGCCTAGAGGGTTACGGTGGGCAGGGGAGCGGTACATGGGCAAGCACAGGCACTTCTACTCAAGTGGTGGCTCTGCCATCTTTAGAGACTTACCAAAGCTGGCTTGATGGATCTCTGGGAAACCCAATCCCTCTCCAAAGTCCCTTCAGCCTTGCTTGCTCTCCCTGGAGCTTGCAGGTAGTGACAGTCATGCTCCAAGCATTCTGTGCAGGCTGCTCCTAAAAGCTTCTAAAATCTTTCTCCCAGTGAAGGCTGGAGGAGCTGATGCTGCAGTAGGAAGGAAGAGAAGTAGGAGGCTTGAAAAGGTCACACCAAGGCTGCAATTTCCAAATGAGTGTGAATGAACTGGATGCCTTAACACCCTCCAACTTAAACACTCAGTCTTGGCTGTTAATGGAGTATGCTGTAAAACTGCATTTTCTTTACCTATTCAAGGAGAATTAGAGGGACACACCTCTTAATGTTAAGCAGGAGAAAGCTTTTTGGCCATGAAGGCTGTTCTTCCACACAGGAAGGTTGCTGGCAGAAAATGACAGCTTGTGGACAAACAGAGTCCGAGTGGCTGCAACAGCAAAAGAGTAGAGAAATAACCAGTCTGAGGTGTCCATAACAGAGTCAGAGTGGCTGCAACAGCAAAAGAGTAGAGGAAGGAAAATGCAGCCTCTGTAAATAGAGAAATAACCAGTCTGAGGTGTCCATATGTTTCATGGACTCACTTCCCTCCTTTTCTAGCATTTTGCTGAGCACTATAGCAATATTCAAGCCATTATTACATTAAGAAGTCTTTCAGCTTTTCTGCCTGAAAAAACAGTCATCACTTGTAAATTGAAGGCATCACTCTCTTATCTGGTCTGCAGCCAGAAGGGCTGGAAGCAATAGAAGAAGTGTGAACTTTCTCCTTCATCTCAGAGAACATTAACTTCAAAGCCAAGCCATAAACTTTCGGATGTAATGACTATTTGTCCAAAAGAGAAACACATCAGCTTGATCAATGAGTGAAAGGTATAAAACACAGAGGTTACATTTGCTAAACACTTGGGAAAAATGTGTGGTTATGCTTGGGTGTGTGGAGAGGGGAGTTGTTACTGAGTTCTTTGGGCAGGCAGGCCCAAGGGGCAGTGTGAGGATTGTTGTGGGTGGTTGTAGGTCCAGCACCGAGTGGTTTCTGTCCCAGAGGAGGCTGGGCTGCCATGTCAGGGTGTGCTCCAGGGCGCCCTTGAGTGCAGACCTTCATCACCGAGTGGGGACCTTGTCACTGTGTTGGCAGCCACACTGCTCTGCTTTTCCAATAAACCATGGCAGAGAGCATCTCTCCTTTCAGCTGCTCAAACAAAGCATTCAGGACCACCAGCACTTCCTCCTGTGTCCTTGCTCCAGCTGTGTGAATGCTGACTGGAGAAAACCCCCCTGTGGGTGCACTGCTGTCCCCTGGGCATTGCTGAGCTCCAGGGCACAGGGTCCAGCAGCACCAACACAGCCAGGCAGGTGCACTCGGAGATTTCAGACACCCTTGGTAAGGTTTCCCACATCCTTCTTCCTAGTTTTTAAACATGCTTTCCATTTTTCTGATGAAAGCTCCATGGAAATAGAGAGTAACAATGTCTTTTTGTTTCCATGGCTTTAGAGGGACAAAAAATTTATATTATGTGACTTTTTTTTCAGAGGATAACCATTACCCTTCCTGATAACATCCTTTCTCCCCTCACCCGTTAGGGCTTCCAGGTGAAGTCTGGACTCCATTCTCTCCCTGGGCAGTGGGTGTGTGATGTTTGTGCATGGTACAGGTGCTCAGAGAGGGCACTTTTAGTGCTAATCAACTCTTTGGTGAAAGTGTTTTTAGAAGGAGTAATTGTGAGGACTTGCTGCTGGGCACCGGCTTCTGCTTGTTGGGGCTCCAGGGCTGGGTAGTGAGATCCAGACCTGTGCAATTCCTGTCTGAGGATGGAGAGGAGGAAGTGCTGGAGTTTGAAGAGGGATTTTGAAAGGTCTGTAACATCTTCTGCCAACATCTTTTTTGGATCAGCCCTGCGTGAACAAGTGAGAGTCTGGAAGAACCGTGTCATCCTTGAGGACAGCTGGGCTTGCTGGGGGGCAGCTCCATTTGGGATGGGAGGCAGAGGGTTGATGCCACTGCTGGGGGGGAAAAGAGATGATGGTGGGGTTGCTGGCTCCACAGGCTTCAACAGCATCCTGCTTTCCCCCTGTGCTGTGCTTGCCTGTCCCCTAGATCCTTGTGAGGCCAAAATGTCTCTATAGGGAACCAGAGAGCAAACCTGAGCCCTTCTTGCTCACCACACATTTTTGTGTCCCCAGATCCCTGCTGGAGTGAATGGAGCTGGTGGGGTCTATTCAGGTTCCTCACCATACAGGTGGTATTGGGAGGACATGGTGGCTCAGCTCTTGAAATTTCTACCTGCCCCTAGATGTGTCCTGGCCTCCAGAAGGTGAGCTATCTTCTCCAGGCTGTCCCCTCTACTGTCCTGAATTCCAAATTCCAAACTCCCAGCATCCTGGGGAACAAGCCATGGGGATGGCCATGAAATGCTGGAGGTGGGGGTGTTGGTGGGGATTGAGATGACATTCTGGAAATGTAAAGAACAATTGCATACTGAATCCATCTGGTCACCCTCCTCCTCGTGGCATATCACCTGCCCCACCTTGGTCCCAGTGGACACTCCAGGGACAAGGGCAGGTAACAGTGGGTAGAGGTGGGGCAAGAGGACCAACAGGAGGGCAGTTAAGTCGTTTGTTTTAAGGGGCAGCTGGCTTTACCCAGGTAAAACCAGTGCAATGCCAGCAAGCTCCACACTCAGCAGATCCCCAAAGGTATTGGTGAAGCAGTGCTCAGCCTCCCTTGCAACACCTCTGCTTGAGGGAGGCAGCTGGATGCTGGGCTCCTTTTCCACTGTGGAGCTGTACCTGTGCTTTGTAGGTGTGTTGTGTATTTAGGTCTGTCTTTGCTAAGGGATCCACTGTAGCAATGCCTTTTATGTCCTGGAGTTCCATTTTCTACCTCCACTGGATGATGTCCTGGGCTTCAAAGCATACGGGGAGCAGTAACCTCTTTTATTGCACGGTCATAAAGCAATGGCCCTTCCCTGCTCCTGAATATGAATAATAAATAGAATGTATGAATAAGAAATAGTAGTGATATTGTTATATTTTTACATGGAGGCCTGCCAGATGCTCTTTTTGAGTATGAGACTCAAGATTTAGTCTGAGAAAAAGGAAGCAGAAAACAGGAATCCTGACAGTTTTGTACCTGGCTGTGCAGCTGTGCTGAGAGGTGCCCTGCAGATCAAAGGGAACCCGCTCCCGTTCTCCCCAGGTGCTGCAATGCTTCCCCTATCAGAGCAGATACTGGTTATCAGGCAGCAGTGCTATAAGCAGCACAAATGTGCACTTTGCTCTCCAGAGGTTATGGCAGCCAGAAGGATGCCAGATTAGATTTAGGAAAGCACATATGGACGTATTGCCTTCTTCAGCCTTGCACCATCCCTTAAAATCCTCCGTTGCTCTGGAGGAAGACAGAAAGCACGGCTGTGGACAATCACAGCTGTAGAAGCATAATTGCAATTGCTGTCTCAGAGCTGCTTAGTGCTTCTGATAATCTTTGGGACCTGCAGTGAGTCACTACAGGATGAAGGGAGAGCATTTTGGGGCAGGGATACAGCATAGGGACAACTCCATAGAAGTATTAAAAGAAACCACCTCCAGTTTACATTTCACTGAGGGGAAAGATGCTCTGAGGCAGCACCAGCACAAGTTCAGACTGAAGCCCAGACTTCCTGCTTTGGGATTCCAGGTATTCGGAGAGTGTCTCTGACACCAAGTCCTACACCGTGTCTTCCCCTGAAGGCTGAGATGCCAGCATAGCTCATCTCTCAACCCGGTCACTGGCCAGAACTACAGCTCCAGTCCACTGACAGCAAATCCCACCAGTTCACCTCACATGTGCACAGGGGTGTTTAGCTTCTGGGGAGGTAAACAGGAAGGTGACAGGAGTGAAGTCTCATATCAGTGTTGGGATCTCCTCCTTTCTTTAAGTGCTTCAGCAAAACCTCCCTCTAAGCCCCATACACTGCGTAACACATGGCACATCTGTTTCTATTTCCAGGGTGATCTCACTAATCACTTTTTAAGAATCCAGCATCCAGGGTTAATCAACACGAGCTGAATTACAGCAAAGGTTCCTACAGCAGTGGAAAAATCCTGTGCAACTCCCTTTCCTCAAGTTATCCTCTTGGATAGTGGGGTTTATCCTCTGCCTGAGTTCTGCCCAAATCCTCATGATCCCTGCAAAGCCAAGGCCTCTTTCCAAAAAGCTTCTGCCTCTCGGGGCCTTTGTCTATTTGACAAGGCAGATCTTCCAATAGTTGATTTTCTGTTTGGCAGTCAAACTAAAGGCTAAAAAAGCATGATACAGGTCAACCCCAAAAACCTCACGGGAATGGAAAGGGAGATTCCCAAGGAAACTGTCCTCAGCCACAAGGCTTATAAAGAGAAATTATCACCCAATCCACTGCCTACAACAGAGCCTCAGAGCACACAGGATGCAAGTTCAAACTCCTTCTGTTTCTCATATGGAAAGTATTTTTAAAAAGCTTTCCTGGAAGCAATATCACACCCAGTGTGCCAGGCAACACCAGAGGCACATGGAGATGGAGCACAAAGAGGCAGGAGTCTGGCTGTGCCTTGCTGTGCCTACACTGCTCAGCACAAAGGCCAGGGCAGAGTGGCAACCCTGGGCTCACAGGCACTGTGCCTAGAGCTTGCTTCCCAAGGAGAACATTTACCTTGGAAACAGCTACTTGGAGTGATCCACACCAAAGGCTCAGAGCTAGCAGAGAGCCCAGCAGACAATGAGCACAAATCCAGGGCTGAAGTCCATCTCTTCTTTGTTGGTGATGTAGCTATGCCTGTCAGATGTGCCTACAATGTCAGACACAGCTCTTCAGCTGACTCTGGGTCCTCATCCTTGATTGTTCCCATGGTGTTGGTCAGCACATGCCTATGCTGTTCCCTGGACCAGATCAAGGAGCTCCCTCCAGCCACCAAGCAGTGCTGCTCTGGACATGGATACTCCTGGAAAAACTTGCAAGAGCCACATGAACAAGCTCTGTCTCATTTCCCCTGGGATGTTCCTCCAGCATGGTCCCACCAGCCTTTCCATCCTCCAGCTCTTCTGAATGCTCTCATGCTTCAATCCATGCCAGGCTATACACCCCATGGAATTCAGCACTGGTGAGTACAGCATCATCTTCCTGGGCATTTTATGCTGGGATAAAAACACACCAAACTTACAAAAATACTGGTTTGCTCTTAGGTCCATAGGCTGAACACACAGGGCCAAGCTAAGCTGGAGTCAAGTCCCATGCAATGCTGCCAAATTCAGCCTCTTTTGTTGGCTGGCCCTGAGCAGCCAACACTGCTCTGGAACAACTGCTCTTGTCCACTACCTACCAGATCCCAGGCCTGCTCTTTGGGGCAGGCAGTTTAGTCCTGCTGGTATTCCTGCTCTATCTGGTCCAACAAACAGTGTAAATAATTCTACTCTGAGCAAGAGGATTAGGAAAGCCCCCTTGCAGGCTGTCCTGTGGTTTGGCCATGCTCTGAAGACACAGCATGTTGGTAAATCCTCACTCCAGCTGAGGTTTCCTTTTGAGATCAGCTTCAAAAATAAAAAGTAAAAAGAACCTCAAACCAACAAAGCAAGCCACTTTTATGTTTCTAATTTTTGGGGTTAATTCTGATGAATGGTTGCACACCAATTGGCAGATAGCTTCTGTCAACCAGGAACTGCTTTTCAGTGAGTAATCTGTTTTTCAGACATCATTGGCTCTACTTGTACCCCCTTCCCACTGCCACAGGAGAGGGAAGGGATACTGCAGGAACTGCTTCACATATGATCCTTGCTGCCCTGGCTCTCATGTAGCCACCAAATGGTCTCACCCTCTGCCTGCTCTTCTGCTTGGAGATATTAAGGACCTTCAGCAGTTACCATGTCTCACTCTGGGTAGCTTCTTCTTCCTCAGCTGCACCTCTCCCAGTGCTGTCAGAATGGCCATGGCGACTCTGTCAAGACTTGCTCACCTAATTTCCATATTGAGGATTTCTAGCTACTATAAGTGGCATTTCTATGTCCTCCTTTCAGGACACACATCTTTATGAGCCCATCAGGTTATGCCATCTGCTGTCTGTTGGAATGTAAACACCTTCTTAGGGACAGGTACATGCACAACAATGGTAATGTTTGTTACCAGGACATGGCTGTGGGGCTCCACAGGTGGCGCAGCTGACAATGGCCACAAGCCATTGTCACAGCATCATAGAATGGCTGGAGTTGGAAGGGACCTTAAAGATCATTTAGTTCCAACCCCCTATCATGGGCATAGATGCCAGCCACTAGATCAGGCTGCTCACAGACCTGGGGTATCCTCTGAGGACAAACCACTTGGCCCTGAGTTTTTGCCACCTCCATCACCATACATGCCAGCATCTCCCAGAGCCCACTGGAGCCAGGACAGGCTGGTTAAAGGGTGGCTGGGGAGCTTGCAGGGTGAGAACAGCCAGTGGGAGTGACAGCCACATGTTTGTGGGGCTTATTTTAAAGTTGATTGATTTATTTTAGTAGGACTTTCCCACAGTGTAGCTGGCAGTGGCAGCCAGCAGACATGGCAGTGTCCAGGCTCTGGTGACAGACTGACAAGGAAACTCTGGGGCTGGCAACAGGCTCCTGGTACCCTTTGGGGACCACCTGATTAGCCCTGCTTTGGGTGACCTTGCTGCAGCAGAGGATTTAGCCTAGGTGATCTCCAGAGGTGCCTTTCAACCTCAGCCTTTCAGTGAGACTTATTTAAACCTCTGAATAAAGCACAGATTGGACATTCAGGTGTATATATTCAAGTATTCCATAAATTCTCAACTCAATACAGGAAATTTGGCTTTCAAGTCCAACAGCACATTGAATCTTTACCAGGCTGTAAGGCCAGAGTTTCATGAGAGTTTTAACAACCTAACAAACCAGGGAAGTACAAAACATGCCATGCAACTCAGATGTTTCTATGCAACAACCATATGATCCAAAGTTTCTCAAACAAAACCATTTGCTGTCAAGACAGAGTGGAGCCAAATCAGTGTGATTCAAGGTTTTAGAGTCAATTTTGTAAAATGTCAGAAGGAGTTACTTAGTGCCACCCAGTGTTGGCAGCTAGAAAAAGGAAGGTTAAATATGGTTACAACTGGGTGTAGCCCAGTGAAACAGGAAAAAAAAAACAGCTCTTGCTTTCTTTATCAGGGGTGAGTAATGTCACAGAAGCCGGGTAGCACCAGCATTCAGGGATAGGTGTCCCAGAGCTGAAATGAAGTTTAGCCATCTTGTTAAAAAAACACCCCAAACCCTCTACTTTTTATATTCACTTTTCAAAGCAGGTAATCAGTTTGAGATGCAGATGGTCTTTTTTGTCACAAGACTCCCTCCCCTAGTCTGATATCTGTCTAGTGAGAAAGTTGCACTGACTTTTCTGGTCAGAGGTTCAGGAATTTAGATGAGACACAACTATATAAAATGTGTCTCTTTCCTAGAATAAAAAGAGTACAGTTAAACACGACTCTTTCCCCCCTTCCTGCCTTTGTCTCAGGTGCTGCATATGACTTGTCTTTTCCTTGAAGTCTTTAAAATTCCACAGGATCTCATGTATATCAGGCATAGAAATACTCTCCCAGTTATCATCTTCAGATGGCTGAAGAATTGCATGTCTGCTTTTGCCCTTCCATGGACTGCAGAAAATCACAGAATGGTTTGGGTTGGGAGGAGCTTTAAAGACCATCCAGTTCCAACTCTCCTGCCATGAGCAGGGTCACCTTCCACTAGACCAGATTGCTCAAAGCCCCATCCAGCCTGGCCTGCAACATCTCCATATAAAATTAGAGTATCATGGTCCCATTTAACAGATGTGGAAAGTGAGATGCAAGCAGGCATTCCCATCCTCATCACAGCCCCATCCCAGGAGAGCTGGGCCTGGCCAAGATGGGATGAAGGAGATTTGGAGGCAAGAACCCAAGTGGGCAAGAGAGGAAGGGGAAAGTAAGGCCTGAAGATGCCCCAAAACCACCAGGTGCTGGCAGGGTGAGGGCATCCCAGGGTTGTGGCTTCACTGTAGTGGCAGAGAAACCCTCCTTCTACCATTTTGGTCTCATTCACTCTGCTCTGAAGTATTCTCATTGCCCAGAGGGAAAATTAAGACAACAGAGGTTTGAGTGGTTCTCTGCTGGTTCTTTATTTCATCCCTAGAAGATGAGGGCCAAGGGGAGACTGACACAGGAGTTTATCTCAGACTGATACAACAAAAAAGCAACAGTGAAGGGTGGCTGCCCTCTGAAACAACCTCACTTCCATGAGCTGCCATGCTGGTGATCCATGCTTCTGGGTGTAAGGACAGGCATTTTTACCTTTTTCTCCTACTCATGAAGCCATCTATCTCCCAGTCACACAGCTTATCCCTTGGATTTGTGCTTGCTGACGAGTCTCCTTTCTCACTTACCTTTCGCTGACTGCTGGGAAACAGGCCAGGCAGTATGGCCACAGGTCATGAGTCAAAAACTCCTCTTCTGGGCCCAACACACTTGGGGTGTTTTTTTCTTTTCTCACCAGTCCCATGAGGCTCCTGGAGGATCTGGGTGCTGGGCTAGCTAGTTTTTGTTGGAACTAATTGCATCTGCATTTCTCACTAGGGCCCTACGTATCCTAAGTGCTCTCCATGCTCTCCACAGCTATGAGAACTTCAGTCTTCCTCACACAGAGCTCACAGTTTAAAACCCAAGGTGGGAAATCACTAATTCATGTGATGGCTGCTCAGCCTTTGCCTCAGAAATTCATCAAAAAGATAATTTTCTCTAAGAGGGCCACAGGACACAGTGTGTACAGAAAAAGTTGGTAGAGGAAGGAGACCAGACAAATACAGCATTCTTGGAGAAAAAAAAAAGAAAGAAAGAAAAAGAAAGAAAAAAAATTAGTATCTGTGTATGTCCCTTCAGTTAGGAAGGTTTACAAAGCAGCTTCACAATGAGAAACAGTGCCTGCTCCAGAAGTTTTACAGTCCCAGCAATCAGGATGAAATAGCAGGAGGGGGAAAGGCAGAAGCAGGAGACCTGTGATTCCCTGCCTTACACGGAGCAACTGTGCTCAGTTTGCAGGTCCAAGGCATTTTTAAGCCTATAAATAAACTGGGGACGTTAATGAAGGCATTAATCCCCGCTGGCCGCCGTCCCAGCTATTTTCAGCGGAGGTTACCTTGCCTCTCCCAGCAGAAGTAGGTCTCGAGGGGAGGGTCGGGATGCCGTGTGCCCGCGGCCACCGCCCTGGGCGGGAGGACACTGCCACCGTCCTTGGCAGCCCACCAGGAGGAGGTGTCCCAAGGGCCAGCCCTCCTGGCTCCCAGCCTGCCGGGAAAACAGACGTCAGAGAATAAACAACGAGGAAAGGCAGAGTGCTGCCGGCTGCAGAGGGAGGCTGGTGGCTGCTCCTGCCTGCACCCCTTACGGCACAGATGCCTTCTTCATCTCCCACAAGGAGATACCCCCGATGGAGACCCTCTGCTCCTCTGCGGCTGCTGGGAGCCTGCTCCCCCACTTCTGCCTTTCCAAGGGCAGAATTTGGCAGAGGGGGAGCGTGGGAGAGGCCAGGCCATCCCGGCATGCTGGTCTAGGGCAGGGAATGGCCAGGTGCAGGTCCCTGCGGAGAACGAGACATCCTGCCCCGAGACAGCTTCCTGCCCCTCAGCATAGTCAGTGCTTTCCCCACACCCAGAGAGGGAGAAGAGCTCCCTTTCTCTTCCACCCAGGAGGAGCAGGAATGTCATGCACATGGATGGTAAAAGCGGCTTTTTTTCCTTCCTGCCGTGAGGAGAGAAGCCCCAGGACAGCATTTGCTTGGGAAAAGAGCAGCCCAGCATTTGCCCTCAGTGCTCACTCGGCACCCAGAGCTGTTTGCCTGTGGGCAGTGTAGCCCTGAGGTTCATCTTACAAAGGTACCTCTTACAAATGCTTGCCTCATCTTACAAAGTATACCATGCTTTTGTTTATTTTACTATTTCTTTCACAATATGCCAGGAAGAAATTTATTCCTAACAGTAAATGAGGTTCACACTCACTGAAAACTGATGCCTTTGAAAACCACGTCTACACACTGCTTTCCTTTGACTTGCCCCCTCAGGTATCCAAGCTGGTCACATACCACCATGCAGGGTTAGAGAAAGTAATGTTCCTGTACCACCAGAAAACACTGGCCAACATTTTCTTTTCTATTCTGCAATGAGCTCAAGATGTTGAGATGTTTGCCAAATAATATTACAAAAGAATTGTTCACATGCTGGTCCCAGGTGACATTTGGCTACTGTAGCTATTAGGACTTATTCTCCCAAAGCATTCAGTGGCACAGGACTTTTCCCCCAGTCTTCTCAGAAAATACACACTGTTTTCTGTTCTTTGTGTTGCTTAGTAATGTTTCCTGAATTCTCAATATCTATAGTGGTCTGACTGCCAGTTGCTCATAATGTACCATCTAGAAAGAACTAAGAGAAATTTGGATGTTTTTCTTACCTCCTTACAATGATATTTTGGGGCCAGAGGCAGCAATTTCTCTGTGGAAGACCCACTTCACTTGATGTAGCTTGCAGCTCACAAACAGCACAACTGTTCACTCTCAGGAACTGCTAAGAAATGCATTTCATTTACTTGAGTTTTGCTATTGTGTCTCAACTATATTCAATGGACAATCTGAAGACTTTACTTATGCTACAGCTTCCCTGCTGCAGTTCTGGCTGGCCTCTTTTAGGGATCATGCAGGATGTGACCATTTGAAGGTCTCTGGAGTGGCTTGTGCATGGCAAAGTTTGGTCCTGCCTACAGCCACTTTGGCAAGCAGACACACACCTGGGTCCTGCACTGTGCACTGGCTCTGTGAAGCAGGGCTATGGACTCCTATGTCAGTGGCAATCTGTGACACCAACCCCAGTGACAATTGACAGGAAATTTCTTTCCTACTTTAATGAGTCTACGCAGTGTTAAGCCATTTTTTGCAAAGCTGTCACAAAGGCTCCTGACTGATCCCTACTGCCTGTAACCAGTACTTTGGGAAGCCCATCAGCCCCATCGCCCTCTTGAGATTGCTCTTCCAAACCTGCTGATGAAGGGCAACAGGGAGCAGGCACTGCAGGGATTCTTTGGCTCCACAGAAGTGTCTGTTGGTCACACCCCAGCAGCTTTGGCAGACTTGGTGCAGTTGTTATTAA